GGACCACGCCCACTCACAGCCAACCGGCGAGGCCCCCCCCCCTCCCCTCTCGGTTCTCGCTGCCCTGGCTGCCACATGTGGCTCACTCGCCTGGGCCCCAGTGACTGACCTCCCCGTGTCCCGCCTCTGCCTGACAGTCACCAGCCCGGTGGCCAAGCTGGCGCTGCAGCTACTGACCGCCACGCCGGAGAGCCTCCTACTGGAGGGCGGCGCCGGGGCCATTCGCGCCGAGTTGGCCGAACTCCTCAATGAAGCGCGCCTGCGCAAGGCCCCGGAAGCCCGGGCCGAGCCTCTAAGCGCCGACCTGCTGAACCTCCTCTTCATCTTCGCTCCCATCTCGCGCTTGCTGTCCTTCCACGTACGCTCGCCGCCTGCCGGGCCACTTGGCCATGTCCCCGGGGGGATAATGCCCGCCACATGGCGTGCTTTGCTGTTCCCCGATCCGCGCGGCAGTGTGCTGACCTTCCTCTTGCCATCCCCCGCCCCGCCCCGCCCGGACTCCGGCCATGTGCACAGGAGTCCCAGCAGAAGCTGCACCAGTCTTTCAATGCCCCGGAGCCGATCCACCATTTGGCCGGGTCGTCGCCGATCCTGGATGAACCGGCCACCGCGTGGCCTGGGCTGCCGGCCGGGCTCGGGTCGGACCCGGTGCCGGGCCCCGGCGGCAGCCCCAGCCCGACGGAGCCCTGCCCGGACGAGGACGCCGAGGCCGATGTCGATGACAGCGGCGACGACGACGACGACGACGACGACGACGACGACGAGGAGGAGGACGAGGAGGAGGAGGACGACGAGAAAGACCACCGGGCGGCGGAGGAAGAGGATGACCCCACCTTTGTGGTGCATCGGCCTGGCACGGATCCGCTGCTGGTCGACCCGACCAGCCTACCGGCCGACACCGAGCACGAGCACCAGAGTGAGAGCCCCTCCGGGCCGGGGTCGTCCGGGGTGGATGCGCCCACGCCGCGGCTTCGGTCGCCCGACGCCGGGGGGCGGCCGGCCGTGGCCGCCATCTCCACCACCACCACCACCACCACCACCGCTACCGCTACCATCGCCACGACATCCGGCCTCTCGGACCCGGGCGTCAGCTCGCCTGGGGGTGCCGGGTCCGGGCCCGGGTCGCGCAAGCTGTCGGTCCGCGAGCGACGGTCGCTGCCCGCGTCGCCCCTGGTCCTGACGACCAATCTGCCGGCCGGGGAGTTCGCGCCGCGGGAGTCCGGCGGCAGCGGGCCCGAGGACCCGGGCCCGGCGCCGGTGGATACCGGGCCCGGGGTGGACACCATCACGCCGCCGCTGGGCCCGGTGGCCGGCCTGGGCGCCGGGGCCAGTGCCGGGGCCGAGTCGATGGCCGGGCCGCCGGCCCCGGCGCCGATGTCCCCTTCGCCCGTGTCCTCGGGAGCACGCTCGCCGCGGGTGTGCCACCCTCCATCGGGGTCGGCCTCCGGGGCTCTGTCCCCCTCGGCCTCGGCCGACCAGTCGTACATGCAGCTGCTGCGCTCGGCCATGGAGGATATGTCCATGCATGAGATTGACATGGAGATCGACATGTCCACGCACCAGCGCAAGTTGGAAAACCAGCGCCTGACCGAACTCCAGGCGGCCGCGGTGGCTGGCAGCGAGTATGCCCTGGCCGGTGGCCGGCGGCGTCTCCCCTCGGAGTCCAGCTACTCCGGCCTGGACTATCCCCTGGCGGGTGAGGATGGCGCCGGTCTCGGCGGGGCGGCCAGCGACAGCAATCTCCCCCCGCCGCCGCCGCCGCCGCCGCCGCCGCCGCACGCGCACCCCCATCACTGGCATGTGCACCAGCCGCCGGTGCCGCACCAGCAGCACCCCCTGCCGAATGGCGGGTTCTACCTCGGAAACACGACCGACACCGATGAGGATCCCTTCGAGGCGGTGTCCTCGCCGAGCTCGCCCCATCAGGCGGCCGGCGGCCGGGGGCACTTTTCGCCGGGCGGCACGTCGCTGCTGCCCTGGCCGGCCCTGTCGCAGGGGTTACAGCGCCTGGGCCGGTCCCGGGCGTCGCTCGCGCCCCAGGCCCGGCCCGCTGGCGGGGAGCCTGGCACGCCGACCACCGGCGACATGCCGCCAGCGCCGCCGCCGCCGCCGTCACCGTCGCCGCCGCCGCCGCCGGGGATGGGCTCGCCGGCCGAAGCCCCAAGCAGTCGGAGCAGCTTCCGCCGGCACTTGGGCCTGATCCTGCGGTCGCCCTCGCCGAGCCCGATGGCCGCCGGCGGGGGCACCGGGTCGACCCCTTCGTCGGGCACATCGTCGGCATCGGGGTCGCCGCTGCCGGCCGGCGGGCGTCGGCGCGGGTCCGCCCACCGGCGCTCGGTGAGCATCGGGTCCACGGCGTCGGCCGATGCGCTGCTCCTGTCGTCCGGGCCGCCCGGCGGCGGTCCGGGGTTCTTCCTGGGAGGCGGGGCCGCCGGGGGCTTGTCGCCGGCGCACTCGCCGCCGCTGCTGCCGGCCGCATCCGGCCCGGTGGGTGTGGGCCTGCATCCGCACCATGCCGGGCGGCTGATGCATTCGCCCTCGTCGCCGTCCTTCTCCCAGCAGGGGCTCAGCCCGGGGGGCGGGGTGGCCGGGTCGCCGGCCGGGTCGCCGGCCGGGTCGCCGGCGCCGCGGACGTACGGCGGCAGCAGCGGGTCCTTGGCCGGGGGGGGCGGCCCCGGCGGGCCGGGGTATATGGCGCCGTTGCCGGCGTCGGCCTATGACCCGCGGATGCGGTCCCCCCTGTCGCGGTCGTCGTCGGCCGCCACGGCGGATCTCAGCTCCTACGGCGGGGGCGTGGTGGGGTCTGGCTCGGGGGTGTCGGGCGCCGGGGGCCTGGTGGCCGGCCCTCCGGGGGAGGCCGGCTGGACGACGGTGCCCTCGTCGTCCGGGTCGTCGTCGGCTTCGTCGTCGGCGACGGCGTCGCCGGCACCTCTGGCCGGGTCGAGCGCCGGCGGCATGGGCGGCCCCCCGTCGGCGGCGGCCTCGCTCCTGCACTTCCGGGATCGCTCGGCCGGGCACCCGAGCGCCGCGGTGTCGCCGCTGTCGCCGCGGCATTTGCCGAATGTCGGGCCGACCGGGGCCGCCGGGCCGGGAGCGGCCATGGCCCCGGGGGCGGTGTCCTCCCTGTCGGCCTCCTCCCTCGGGGGCGGGGTGGCGTCGTCCTCGTCGAGCTCGATCTCCTCCTCGAGCTCGATGTACCGCCGGGCCCTGACGCACTCGGCTTCCTACTCGTCGCTGGCCAGCGTGGCCACGGGGCAGCCCTCGCCGTCGCCCTCCTCCCCCTCCACCTTCACATACAGCCCGGGGTCCACGCCGGGGCCCGGCGGGGAGGCCCATGCCCATGGGCTCCAGCACTATCACCCGCACCTGTCGTCCTATCACCACTATGGGCACGGGGGGCCCGGGGGGCCGGTCGGCGGCCCGGGCGCCGGGGCGCCGACATCGCCGCTGGCCGGGCCGGCCCCGCCGCCGGCCCCCCCGCTGCCGGCGTACATGCGCCATGCGGGCCTCACCTCGCCGGGGTCGGCCTATGCCTATGCCTCGCCGTTGGGGTCGCTGCAGTCGTCCTCCTCCGGGGGGCTGAGCCGGTCCTCCTCGTCGCATTCGGTGCGCGCCATGAACAAGGCGGCCAAGTTCGCCGAGCGCCGGGGCAGTCTGTCGAACTCGGCCGGGGTGGCGGCCGGCGGGGCGGCGAGCCCGGCGGCAGCCGCCGCAGCCGCCACCAACCAGGCCATGGCCCTGGCGGCGGCCGGGGCCGGGGGGTCGGTGCCGCCGGCCTCGCCGGCGGCCGGCGCCTCGCCGATCCCGGGCCACTCCTCGCCGCATCGCGGCCTGCCCGGCTCGCTGGGCTCCGGCCGGGCGTATGGGTCCACCGCCGGGGGCCTGACCGGCGCCTCGAGCCCCGGGTCGCCACTCTGCCCGTCGCCCTCGCTGTCCTATTCGCCGGTGTCGACGCCGGTGGCGTCTGGGGCCGGGGCCGGGGCCGGGGCCGGGGCCGGGGCCGGCGGCGGCGGCCTTGTTGCCAATCCCGGCGGCACGCACACCCCCTCGCCGCTGGGGTCGCACGCGCGGCCGAGCGCGGCCCCCGGGCCGGTGGTTTCGCCACGGGCCCCGCTCTTTGAGTCGGCGGCGGCGGCGGCGGCGGCCGGGCCCGGGGGCGGCACGTCCGGCGCCTCGGTGGGGCCCGGCGCGCCGGGTACGCCGGGCGGGCCGTCGACCCCCTCGGCCGACTCGCCCGGGGGGCCTTCCTCGGTGTTCCTGAAATTGGCTCGGGTATTCAAGTTTTCGTCCGGCGGCGCTGGGAGTGCCGCGGCGGCGGCGCCGGCCTCGCCGGGGTCGAGCCTGTCCTCGCCGGGGCTGGCCGGGGCCGGGTCCGAGCACACCCCCTCGCCGGGGATGGAGCATGCCCCCTCGCCCGGGCCGGGGCCGGGCTACTCGCCCGGGTGGGCCGCCTCGCCCGGGGCCTCCCTGCAGCCGGGGCCGCCGGCCACGCCGAATGCGTCTGGCCCGCGGGCGGCCTCCCTGTCGGCGGCTTCGGGGAATGCGCTGCTGGCGGACTTGCGCGGTGCCGGCGGTGCCGGCAGTGGTGCCGGCCCCGGCTCGGGCGGGGGCCCGGCGCCGCTGCCGCGCTCGGTCACCTCATCGTCGCTGGCGGCCGGGCCGTCGATGGCTGGGCCGTCGGATGCCGGGCTGCTGGCGCCCTTCCAGCTGGCCCCTCCCGGGGGCGGGTCGCCGCATGGGCACTTCCGGCAGGATTCGCCAGCGGGCCTGGGATCGCGGCACCTGGGCCCGAGCCCGCTGCCCCGGTCGGCGTCCAACCAGTCACTCGGGTCGCAGCGGTCGCGGTCCTCCTCGCCGATGATCAGCCTGCCGCTGATTTCGTCACTGCGCTCGTCGCTGCGGTCGCTGACGCCGGGGGCCACGTCCGCCGGGGCCGGGGCCGGGGCCGGGGCCGGGGCCGGGGCTGCCCCGCCGGCGAGCGTCGGGCCTGAGGTTCCCCTTGACTCGCGGTCCGATCTGGAGGTGTGCCGGATTTGCGAACAGGTTTTCGCCAAGGCGGTCTTCCAGCAGCACACCGAGATTTGCCGGCTGGCCTTCAAGTACGCGTGCTTCTCCCCTCCCTCGGGCCAGTCTCTTCTCTTGTTGCCTGGAGCCCCTCCTCCTCCTGCCGCATCCCCCTTCGCGTACCTTGGTACCACAACTGACGCATGTCCTTCACCTTCTCTCCTTCTCTCCTTCCCTCCTTCCTTCCTTC